GTCCACCTGTTGTACAGCACTGCAGAATTTGTTGGCAGTTTATAATCAATAATAATAATGACATTAAGCATTTCGGAAGCAAGGGCTGCCACTGGATCTCCTGGCTTCATGTTAGAGATTAGTTCCAATCTACAATTCTATAATTCTCTACTACTGTATGTTCTAATTATCATAATTTCTTCTTTATTTTTAGAAAGTCAGGCAGTATCCGTTACACTGATGGAAGATAAACCGAGGTTAGGAGATACCACTTCCTGATATCAAGTTCATATAGAGACATCAAAGGAACATAGGTCTTTTTGTAACTATGTTCAAATAAATATTAGTTTGTTGAAATACTGCATCTTTAATTTAGTTTCATAGTCAGGCAAAAACTTAATTTTGCTGAGGCAATGGCTTGAAGTGTCATCCATTAACTCACCTAATATGTTGTAAAAATGCCGGTAGACTGACAACATTTCTGTCATGAAACATACTGGGGGTAGAAAAAACAGTTGTCACCTGTAAACATGTATTCAGAATATTCTCCTGAAGAAAAAAGTATGTTACAGCATTTCGCTAGATTCTGTTCTCAATGCATTCATTACTTCGTAGCTAGAACAAACTCAATCCTTTTACTGTTCTAAACTTAAGCAGCAAGGGACCCTCTCAGCTACAGCTATAAATTAACCACAGACAGACAGACAGATAGATAGATAGATAGATAGATAGATAGATAGACATTTAAAAACAAAGGCCTTTATCGCAATCTATGATTTGATAATTATCTACATGTTAATGACTGCCAATTATTTTAACAGTGTTAATATGATCACAATCACTAAAAGTATACAAAAAAAGTGTCAGCGTTTAGTGAATATTCCCCCTGAGTCAATAATCAGGGGTAACACAAAAAAATATATATAACCTTTAGTGTTCAGAGTTCCAATCCACATCTAGTATAATGTAGTATACAGGGCCGATCCTGGGGTCACAGACGCCTGGGTGCAGAATTTTGTTTGGTGCCCCCAGTTGGGCGTGGTCATCATACTAACCCCTCCCCTTTGCAAATGCCTAGACCTGCCTGTTTCTATGCCCACGACTCTACCTTTCTATCCATAAGCCACATACCCTTTTGTAATCAGAAGCACTCTTTCACTGATAGACAAACACACTCACTGATTTTTGATTGACACACACTGACAGACGTACTGACACTTTCAGTCAGGGCCAGACTGGGAAGAAAATTTGGCCCAGGCATTTTTTAATTACAGCGGCCCACTAAAAAAGAGGGCGGGCCAGATAGGGTGTGTTTTGTCATTACCGATGACAAGCACGCCCCATCAAAAAGGGAGCATGTTGGTTCAATGCTCTTCAAGGGCAGACCATGCACAGAACTCTGCTGAGGAGCTCTAGCATTAGAAAACGACCCCGTATTTGTTCTTCACAGCACAGGCAAATTTAATAACATGCTTACACTGTGTTTGCTTGAAATTTGTCTCTGGTGTCTCCATAGATGGGATACCAGGAAACAAAAATGCCAGGAAGAGTATTGTGTAGTGTGTGTGAGGGTGCTGTGTGTGTGTGTAAGGGATGTAGTGTGTGTGCAAGAGGGGTGCAGTGTGTGTGTGAGGGTGCTGTGTGGGTAAGGGTGCTGTGTGTGAGTGATGGGTGCTGTGTTTGCATGAGGGTGCTATGTTCGTGTGAGGAAGCTGTGTGTAAGGGTGCAGTGTGTGTGTGTGTGTGAGTGTGAGGGGTACAGTGTGTGTGAGTGAGGGTGCTGTGAGTGTCAGGGGTGCAGTGTGTGTGTGAGTGAGGGTGCTGTGAGTGTAAGGGCTATAGTGTGTGTGAGTGAGGGTGCTGTGAGTGTCAACTTGCAGTGTGTGCGTGTGTGAGTGAGGGTGCTGTGAGTGTCAGGGATGCAGTGTGTGTGTGTGTGTGTGTGTGTGTGTGAGTGAGGGTGCTGTGAGTGTCAGGGGTGCAGTGTGTGTGTGTGAGTGAGCTGTGAGTGTCAGGGGTGCAGAGTGTGTGTGTGTGGAGTGAGGGTGGTTTGAGTGTCAGGGGTGCAGTGTGTGTGTGAGTGAGGGTGCTGTGAGTGTCAGGGGAGCAGTGAGGGTGCTGTGAGTGTCAGGGGTGCAGTCTGTGTGAGGGTGCTGTGAGTGTCACAGGTACAGTGTGTGTGTAAGTGAGGGTGCTGTGAGTGTCAGGGGTGCAGGGTGTGTGTATGAGTGAGGGTGCTGTGAGTCTCAGGGGTGCAGTGTGAGGGTGTGTGAGTGGGGTGCAGTGTGTGTGTGTGTGTGTGAGTGAGGGGGATGTGTGTGTCAGGGGTGCAGTGTGTGTGAGTGAGGGTGCTGTGAGTGTCAGGGGTGCAGGGTGTGTGTGAGTGAGGGTGCTGTGAGTGTCAGGGATGCAGTGTGTGTGTGTGTGAGTGAGGGTGCTGTGAGTGTCAATGGGCAGTGTGTGTGTGTGAGTGAGGGTGCTGTGGGAGTTGATTAGGTGGCCGCCTAGGGTGCTGCTTAAGAAGGGGCGCTGGCAGCTGCTGTTTTGGCCGCCCCTCTATGTGGGACTATTTATGTATATTGCGTGCCGGAAGTCATGGCACCGAGCGCTAGGGAGCACTTACATAGCTGCAGACTAGCGCCCCGTGGCATACACTGCTGCAAGCAAAGATCACGGAGAGCCCATCCATCCCCCCCACCCATCTAATAGGCCAGCGGCAGTGCATGGGAGCATTGTTCCATTGCTCCTGCCCCTTGCCCTGTACTCGGGGTCAAGTGAGCGGGAAGATAGCAGAGGCAGAGATGAGAGAGTGTGAAGGCAACAAGGAGCAGTCCACAAGTGAGCCAATATGACATGAAAAGAGAGCCAATATGACATGAAGGACATGATAGTGTGTGTTTTCATAGTGTTAGCCTGCTTCAGTTAGTATTGTGGTATCTGCTTGGATCAATGTGTATGTGTGTCTGCTTGGATCAATGTATGTGTGTGTGTCTGCTTTAGTCAGTGGGTGTGTATGTGTCTGATTGGATCAATGTATGTGTGTGTCTGCTTGAGTCAGCGTGTGCATGTGTCTGCTTGCATCAATGTGCGTGTGTATGTGTGTCTGCTTGGATCAATGTTTGTGTTTCTGCATGGGTCAGTGTGTATGTGTGTCATTCTGCCTCAGTCAGTGTGTGTGTGTGTGTGTGTCTGTGTCTCCTTGAGAGTGTGTGTGTATCTGCTTGGGTCAGTGTTTGTGTGTGTGTCTGCTTGAGTTAGTGTGTGTCTGCTTGGGTCAGTGCAGTGTGTTTGCGCATGTGTTTGTGTGCTTGGGTCAGTGTGTGTGTGTCTGCTTGGATCAGTGTGTGTGTGTCTGTTTGGGACAGTATGTAAAAACCAAAGAAAAAAAATTATATAGTATTTGGGTCTATATGTGTATGCTTGGGTCAGTGTGTGTGTGCGTCTGATTGGGCTAGTGTGTGTATGTGTGTCTGCTTGGGCCAGTGTGTATGTGTCAGTCTACTTGAGTAATTTTATGTCTGCTTGAGTCACTCTACATGTGTCTGTGAATTTGTGTGTGCATTGGTCACTGATTGTGATTGTGTGGACCAGTGAGTGTGAGTGAGTGAATGAGTGTGTGGGTGAGGTTGTGCATGTATGTATCAGTGACTGCATTTGGGCAGAAAGGAACATTTTAAAAAAAAAATCAATACTTTTAAAGGAACACTATAGTGTTAGGAATATAAACCTTTATTCCAAATACTATAGTGTCTCTGTCCCTACACAGATTTACTTTTCCGTTTTATAAGCACCAAGACTTCCTCTGCACTGCTTGCCTCTTTACCTTGTGCAATGTCACTTATGGGCAGGGGAGGGCTGGCAGCCTTAGGCCTGGGGGGCAAAACCAGTCAAGTGGCCCATTGCACCACCAAATCAGTTCACCATCCATGCCCACCTTTTCCTGGTTTTATAACGGATATTGATGTTATGCTAATCAGTAGCTCTTTGCCATACCCGCTCCTTCACGGCTCCAGGCACTGCTTGTTGTGAGTGTGAGCCACTGTAAATTAGGGGCAGAGGGCACTTGCACTGCGGTAAAGATGGGGCTGGACAGGAGGAGAGTGCAGTGCAATCAGTGCACTCCCCTCCTGTGGGTCACCAGTAGACTGGTGCACCTGCCCAGGATCAGTGCCGGTGCAAGGATTTTTGCCGCCCTAGACAAAATAAAAATTTGCTGCCCCCATGTGACATCACAATGCCCCACCCATATGAACTAACGCCAGTGCTGCACACAGTGTGTGTTTACATTAAAAAGCCTGCAGGGACCAGCTATAGACACCAGAACCACTTCATTAAGCTATAGTGTCCCTTTAATGTGAGGTACATTATAGATTAGTGTCACTAATAATATATTAGATTGCCTACTTACAAGCAGATGAGGATGATGATGGGCTGCAGTTTGGCTCCACTGGTCTGGTGTAGAACAGGATCTCTGGAGGCTGTTTGCAGCTGTGGTCACAAAATTCAATGTTCTGGGAGAATTGGAAGCAGCTCCATTTTTTGGGGCCCCTTACACAGCTCAAGGTCTGGGCCCCAGGGCCTGACGGTGAGTATGCCCATAAGGCCCACTCATAAGTTCCACCCACCCATGAGTTCGCTCACAGGGAGTGGAGTGTGTAGGGGATGTGTTATGTGTTATTGTAGAGGATCTAATATGTGTGCTTATGGTATGTAGTGTATAGGGTTACCAGTTTGTGCAGGTGATGTAGTGTGTTTGTGTGTAGTGGAAGCAGTGTGTATTTGTGTATAAGGGATGTATTATGTGTTTCTGGTTGTGTGTAAGGGATGCATTGTGTGAATCTGTGTTTGTATGCATAAGGGATGCAAGGTGTGTGTCTGTATGTGTGTGCATGAGATGCATTGTGTTTCTGTGTGTATGTAAGAAAAGAAGTGTGTGTGTTTGCATGCGTGTGTACGGGTTTGCATTGTCTGTTTCTGTGTATGTGTGCAAAGGATGCATTGTCTTTGTGTGTAAGGGTTGCATTGTGTGTGTGTGTGTAATGGATGCATTGTGTGTTTCTCTGTGTGTAAGGGAAGCATGTTGTGTTTCTGTGTATGTATAGGGATGCATTGTGTGTGTGCGCGCGCGTAGTGTGAAAGAGCTCCCTGTCTTGGCCCCTGTCCTATAGAGCTGCCCCTTCTGTCCCGTAGAGCTCTCCCCTGCACCTTAGTGGTCTCTCCTCTCCCCCACCCTCCCCTAGCGGTCTCTTCTCACACTCACCCACCCTCCCTGTGCTCTTCTCACTCCTCCCTCTATGTGTTCTCCTCACACCCCCTGTGTTCGTCTTACCCCCCTCCTCCCTGTGTTCTTCATACTTCCCCCCTTGGTCGTCTTACTCCCCCACCTGTTCTTCTTAACCCCCCTTCTTCTTCTTACCCTCCCTTCTTCTTCTTCCTCTTCCTCCCCCTTCTTCTTCTTACTCCCCCCATTTCTTCATACTCACCCTTCTTCTTACCCCCTCTTCTTCTTCTTACTCCCCACTCTTCTTCTTCTTACTCCCCACTCTTTTTCTTACTCACCCCTTCTTCTTCTTCTTACCCCCCTCTTTCTTATCTCCCCTCCTTCTT